ATAATATTAAAGTAGGACTTTGTTGTTTGAATGAAATTGTTCTAAAATATTTTGCCAATTATTTTTTATTACATTTTTATCACTTTCTCTTCATAAGTTATAGACTACTGTTTGGAGAAAGTATTGTTACCGTCAAAACTTTGGAGTTTGAGTTTTGTTTGGAAATATCCGTTTTGGGTCCTCCTGAACCCAAAACAGTGGCTTTAGAGGTGATGTCTTTGTTAGTGTGTGTGTACAGAGCTAATGACTACACCTGTGGTCCGATTTTGATTACATTTGGTATGTGGGTACCATTCTACTAATCAATGGTATCTCCAGAGTAAAAAAAAATTATTTTTAATACCTTACGGTAGTTATTTTCCATAAAAAATCATAAATAATGGAATAATCTGATTTTCACAAAAACTATTCTGAAGTTAAAAAAAATTGTGTCATGCAAGGCTAATCAAATTATACAACCAGCAATACTGTAAAAATTAGTTTCAATAGTTATTGCAATTTTTTCTATCATAGTTACTCCCATTCTTGCCCATAATAAGGGTTGCTGACAAGCTAATGGGGAGAAAGTGTGTGTCAGAGATTGTTTATACCTATAAAAGAGCTGCTTCAAAAATAAGTTCTAAGTACTATAGGTCCTAAGTCCTCAATAGTTTAATGTTCAGGACATGCCTATGGCTGACTCTATTAGTATGTTTTAATTTTCTCAGCGGTAAATACAGTGTTAAAGCAACAGTTATTTTTTTAATATTACCTTTTAACAAAGTTATATTTTTCTATCTGATAGTTGAAATCTATTATATTATTAAAGTGATACAATCACATTTTATGTAAACGGTTAAGGCCATTTACCAAATAAAAATATAGGCATATGGCATATCAAAATGAAGCTCAGAGTGTGTAGATTTGCCGAAAAGTATTGATATGGACGAACTCCCCAAGAGCTCTGCCCCACAGGCTGATTTACATACGCCTTGCATGTTTTGGAACTAACGTTATTTGATTATATTCAGTGAACAACAGCTGGCCAAGGCAATTCACGATATAGTTTGTTTGTTTACTTATTTTATTATTTACTTTTATGTTCCTAAAACAGGTGCGGTGAGTGGACAGTGAAACAATTTCTAGCTGTTTGATACAAGTGGGTGATTAAAGGTGATCGAAACACGATGAATATGAGATTAACAAACCTTATATGGTGTTCTTTCCAAGAGGTTGTCACCAACCTTTAACAGGTTGCCATTTCATTGAAAAGTATTAAAGTATTACAGGCGTCGTGGAGGAGAGCGGCGAGTTCAGGTACAACCGTACCTACCTCGGCCACCTCAGGACGTAAGGTATAGGCAAAACCACTATACCTTTTTTTGGTACCACTGCTTTTAACATCCTTAAGATGACGATTTCTTGAACTTGGGCCCTTTAAATGAAATATAAAGTCAAAGTTGATTAAATTAATTTTATGGTGGCTTCTGTACACCCGTGAATTTGCGGGTAGAACCTCTTGTAATTTATAATGCTTTATCCAAAAAGGGAAGGAACTGTTTTTAAGTCAACTTCAGTATACATCAATGATTTACAGCCTGAAAAGATCTGTACAGATCTTATTGTGATCCCTGCCATCCCTTTAGATTATATCCATGAAAGGATTCACTTCCCCTTCCTGACAAGCACATTTAAACAATAAGTCCCGTTAATCTCCTCCATTGTAGCAGATCCCACAATGTCTCATCCCTCGAGTCAGTTCTACAATCTATACTTAACCACATTCAGACTTATTGGATAAATCTTATTCTGTAATGTCAGTTTTAAAATACAACCAATTTATTGACGAGATTAGATTTTCTAAACAAATACTAGGCCTACATGGGATAAGTAATAAAAAATTTACAATATGAAAGTCAATTAGATTGCACTTTTGATCTGTCTGTCAATGAATGATAAACAATAAATTAATTATCTGAAGAGAAGAAAACAACTATTTTAAGCATTTGCAGTAAGGTCCTTTGGAATCCTGATTCCTTGCACCCTATACAATTGATTTACAACCATCCCCATTAAAGAAACTATTAATATAGACTAATTAGTCCCAATATAGGCAATAGGCATACTGGCACCTGTGGTTTGTAGTGCTGATCAAAAATTAATATTAATCAATTCAGACATGAGTGAAAATTTAAAAACGTACGTTTTCATGTCCCTGGCCTTTTACTTCGTAGATACTGGATTTGTAGTTTATTATTATGTGTTTTAATATTTTTTTGGGACGGGGGCAACATGTTACACACATTTATTTGGTTTTAAATAGGTTCTAGGTATTTTTTTCGTATTTTTAAAGTCTCGAAATTCACGACCATGACGTGTCCCTAGGGTACATTTTCCAACTTTCACGCTGTTTTTAGACTAATCATTCATGCCGAAATTTATAAATCCATATTTTTATGTCATCAATGGTTATTAAACTTACAAAAAAGGAGCATATTATAATTTTATTGTCATTGCAAACTGACTACCATGACAAAATAAGTCTGTCCCTCGATTTGGCATCACGACCATTTGGGAAAAATTTTCAACTTTGGAGCACGACAGTGGCAAGCCTGGCGTCAATGGAGTCAGTTGGTTTTAGAGACTAGTTCGGGGTGTACGTCAGGATTGTAGTGCCGGTCGTTTCGAGTTGAAAGGAGGAATTACAAGATTAATAAAGGAAATATTGTGTTTTTTGTAATTTTGGTGTGACCATGACCATACGTAGTCATTTGATGAAGTAGACATGGTGTTAATTTTTGTTTATAAGATATTTCAATTGCTAGATTAACCTAGAAGTCCATTTTGTATCCTCGAACATGAGGTGCAGGGCTACCGCCAGAACAGAGCCAAATAACACGTAATTTCACGACCAAAGTTTCACGACCATCGCAGGTTTTTTCACGACCAATCCAGCCTTATGGATTATAGTGTGTTTGGTCGTGACAATAACTTTAATATAATTGTAAATTGAACAGTTTAGTTCAATTGAAACACATATTTTTATTATAACTAACAGTATAATTGAAGGATTGTTTAGAAAGATTTAGATTATTTCAGAAAATTCACGACCGCACCGCTTGTCCCTGACCATCATGTTTATGATTTCTATCATAAAAATTTCAAAAATTAAAATATCGTCATATTTTAATGTTTTATACACAAAAGAAGCACACCTCTATACAAACATAACGATTTTTCGGGTCTCAGGTAAGTTTTTTCGAAGTTATACAAACTTAAAACGATTTTATTGGCTTTTTTTCAATTTTTTGAATTTTTTTATTTTTTTATAGAAAGACCAAATATACCAAAAGCTCAGTGACCTTTTTATTGTATAATGGTCATAAAAGTAAATTAGTTTATAGCAAAACATAGTTATAAAAATAATATTAACTATTTTTAATATTCATTTAAACGTCTGTTATGGTCGTGACAGGATTTTGTGTTTTTCCACTTAAGATGCTCTTTTTAAAAAAAACTACCAAAGATATTGCGTTACCATGGACATTTTATGAAACTTCAAATGTTAATGAAATAAAAAAAATAATAAAAGTTTTGAAAAAAGGGGAAAAAAATTTGCAACGTGCTTTTCCTGAAAACGTACGTTTTTAAATTTTCACTCACATACTACCTTAATTAATTTTTTCATTGAAACAATTTTTTTATCATAGGAATGGGGTTTTTCAATTTAGCATGGTAGAGTGATTTATTTAGAGAATAAGCTTACTGTGTTTATTCTGGTGAGTGGTACTTGCAAAAAGATTTTGTGAAAAATTGTGAAAAATTTGTGAAAAAAGATTACCATTGACTATATATACCTAGTCAATGGTAATACCAATTTGTCATAGCCATTTTTGTTCCCCTGCACTTCACACTTGCTTGTTGGATTCCTTGTTCTTAATAAGCAACCCTCAACCCCCTAGTACCTAAGCTCAATTTGTGGTACACATGTCCATGTACTGGTGGGTTTTAACTAGTGTAAGCGAGTACAGCATTGTGAACTCTGGTCTAGCATCAGAAACAATATTAGAGTTTATCTATATCTGTTATGAAAGATTTCAAAAACCATAAATGATGCCAAAATGTGTGATAATTTTTAAAAATTAATACACTAACTCCTTGATTAAAATTGTTATTATCCTATATTTTTATGATTTAGTAAGCAATTTAAAATTAATAGTATATAAAATGTCTCTATGGCATTTAATTCATAGCTCTTGACAGACATCCTGTACTGGCATCCAAACCAAACGTTTCTACAACTCAAGGATTTATTAATCGCTCTTTACACTCCATTTAAAGAGGCTGGCTTTAAAGGGAGTGTAGGAGTTTTGCCAACGGCTATCAGGTAGAAAGGGTCCCCATCCATGAATTCCACATACTGCGGAGTTTTGCCAACGGTTGTGGGTTGCGCGAGAGGGGAGGGGAGAGAGAGAGATTACACGTGACCGTGAGGGTGGCTTCCGCTAGGGGTGGACAAACCAGGCAGGATGCTGACTGTGTTCAAAGTAATGGAGTTATGCACCTCTGACTGTGAAAGGAAATGTATTGAATTTTTAACCTAACCTAACCTAACCTAACCTAACCTAAGCTAACCCACTGCGACAAGCGCATAACTGCCAAGCGTATACAACCCTGACAATCGCTCTCCCTCCCTCCGTCACACTCTTTCTCCCACCACCACCGTTGGCAAATCTCCGCACCAAGAGGTGGCCGAAGGCATCCCCCCATCTACCTGACACCCGTTGGCAAAACTCCGGTTCCCCTTTAAAGGGGCTGGAGCAAGTGATATTTAATGTATACATATGCATATGCTAAGTTCAAACTCCAGCCAACTGGGTTCAATGGAAGAGCCTAGCATTGGCTATCGATGATTGGTAGGAAACGTTGTAAAGTATGTGTTACCATTCTTTTATGAAGGTTGTTAGAGTTCACAAAGTGTGAATAGCAAACAGAACATAGGTGAGAGATATACAAACCCATTATGAAATAATCTACATCCAATTTATTCACAACAGAATGGGAAATAAAATAATATACAGAAAATATCACAAAAACTAAAACATAAGTTATAAAATATAATACAACACTGCTAAGGGTATAAAGGTAAAACTACTATACCAGAAGATTGGTCCGATGCCTTTCTAATAGACAATCGATGTGCTTTAGAAAATAAAAGAACCTATGACAACCGATGAAGAATATACACTAGTTACAAACCTTATACAATGATGGCACATTAGGCAGTCTGGCATGATCAGCGTCTGCCTTTCAAAATACTATCATTATGCAACTAAGTTTAAAAAAAACTTATCGTATTACTAAGTAAATAAATATGCAATGAATGTACACACAGTGTGTAAAAAAAGAATGATATTGAAAGAGAGATTTAACAATTATTTATGACAATACGGTATGCAAGATACATTCATTTATCATTTATAGCTTTTTATCAATAATTTATGGAGTATTTTACAATAAGCTTTAAAGATATAACTGTATTTTTCATAAGACTTAGGAGTACTTTTATAACATATATTAAGGACAAGGTATATAAAATATAATAAGTAAATTAATAAGCTTATCATATTTTTACCTTAGATAACTTTAGGTAATCATTAATTAAATTTGCTTTTTTATGGTTTTAACACTAATTACCAACTCGTTGTTTGTAATTAATGGGATAAAAAATTATAAATTGCATTAAAAGATAGTTTTTAATTTTTTTAAGTAGAGCTTGATGAAATGCCTTTAACATTGTCATCCAAAAATTTTCTTTTTGAGGTCATATTATTCAAGTCTTATTTCTTTGTCAATTCTATTATTTTGTGAAACTTAATTTCAATTTTTAGTAAAATCAATAATATTGTCATTAAAATCACACAAGGAATGATTTGAATTCCTTAAACCTAATTTCTGTGAGAGTTATGTCCCCGGGAGTGGGACTTCTTTCGGCCAGATTGACGCAATACTTCCGCATATGACTTATCCAGCAGTTTCAAGGTCGCAACCTGTGTAGCAGCCTTGGTAAAATGGCTGTCCCAAGCAGAACTGTGCCTCTGTGTTTCACTTTTTTCGCTGTTCACTCTATTTACTACATCATTGTCGCTGACACACCAAGTAACTCTATCTGCCGTTTTATTTACACTTTCATTCATCCTTACTTCCTTCTTTCTTCTGGTAACTTTGCTGGAATGGACAATTTTTGCTGTGATTCCTAGTACTTGGGCTGATTCAACAGTAATGACAGATTTCTTCTTTGATGACTTCTTCTTGGGACCGACACCAGATGATAAGCATTCCATATAATCTCTAGTGGGCTTTTTCCTTTCTTCAGTCGATGAAGATGGGCCTTGTTCAGGGGACTGAATTATAGCACTTTCATCACAGGGAAGAGGTGCATCATTTCTGTTGACTTTGGGTGTTGATCCGCAAGGAAGATCAGAGCCGGCTGCGAAAGAAGAGCTTACAGACTCGGGAGGATCAAGACTAACTATATCAGACTGGTCTTCCGTGAACTGAGACATTTCTTCTTCTGGGTCAGGAATCCTAGAGGGGAAATCTTCTTTTGCTGGTGTTACAGGAGGAACTTTAGGCGCTTCTTCGGCAACAGGAGTGAAATCGTCCAGCAATGGTAATTTCTCACCTTCGTCTTTAGCTTCTGCAGCTCTTTTCAAGACAGCAAATATTTCCCTAAACAACTGACGGTATTCCGGAGTCTTTCTAAACCTACTCTCGACTGGACTGGCATCATCATATATGCTGAACCTACAGTCATCTCCATCACTGATGGTACAGAGGAACGAACCCGGGGGGAAATGAGCATCAGTCTGTGTTCCTTTGTTGCTCGTTTCATCTGAAAATCCTGAGGAAGATGTTTCTGCTTCAGAGAAGTCTGTTGGGGTTGCCGAGAAGGCTTTTCCATTTGGTGTAATTTTGACAGGATCTTTCTTTGGTAGTTCACGTGTCTCTCCCTCGCTATCAATCTCCTCCTTCTGGAAGAAGTCCCCAGACAGTTGCAGCTCCTCTTGCAGGGACAGGCAGTTGTTGCTAGACACAGTCTGCGGGGGTCTGATCACTCCTGGATGTCTTTGAACCTTTAGCAGTGCTTCGTATTTCTCCACCAGATCTCGATAGGGGTTATCTCCATGGCAACTGTCTCCCAGCGACTCCTGTAACCAATTACAATTACATTAATACAATTACATACATTACAATTACAATACAATTACAATTACATTGTTATTGTTAATACAATTACATTTTTATCTGAGTTGTGCTAAAAATAAATGTAGGCCTTATTCATATTAAAATGTAACATTTTGTATTGTCATCAAGCTATAAGTTTGTCCTCTTGAGCTAGTGACCATTATAGATGTTGAAAGGTGAATGTTAAGTATTAAAGAGATGCAAGTGTTAATAAAAGATTCACCTTTTACTGTCTAATAAACTAGAGACTATGCCACTTATAGCTAACCCGGTATATCAGTAAACAATTCAAGAAAAAATACGTTTCAGCTCAAAATCTAGTGTGATTCGAGCTCCAGAGCTATGTCGGTATTCTCTGTTTTATAATCCTCAATACCAACAACATTTACACTAGACACAGAATATTTACGTTATGTCTTATTACTCTTCTTCATAAATCAAAGAAGCAAAATCAGCTGAGACAAATGACCATCTAGAAAAGAATGTCACCCTATCTCAAACTACATCTCAAACTGAGCTTTACATGCACTTAACAACTCACTCTTTCACGTGGGCTAACAGGTCAAACTGTTAATAAATCATTCTACATGGAGGTGTCTGAAGACAACATATCAATGTGTATTAAAATAAACCTAGTATACATATAGGAGGTGTTTTAGAGTTGTATTTATGAAACTCTTGCTTGATTAATGCAGATTATGATCGGAGGAAGTAGATTTCTCAGACTGGTGTGATACAGGTTAGAGTATGCGTCTTTATTTGACAACTGAAAGGTTACATTCACCATTTGTGTTCTGATTATGACTATAGTAAACTTCTTTTCCACTTTTTACATCCACATTTTGTATTGAAAAGCGTATTTTAAAATCATAAACTACAAAATGTAGGTATCAGATGCCATGGTAAATTTTGTAATATGGTTAAGTTCAGTTAATCGATGAAAAATAAAACAAAAGTAAACCTATAATTAAGTATCTAAATATTACAATATCAACAAACAACCACAAAACACAGGATATTTTTGTGAATGATGGATGAAAAAAATGTTAAATGGTTGTTCCATGATGATGACTATGGATATGAGAAATGCACAGTTAATTGTCGCTGTTAGCAATATATAAAGCCCAGTTAATCAAATTAATACAATGAACGACTTAAATCAATTGATGATCAACAATTTGGTAGATGAAGCTATCATGGTCAGGTAGTAAAACACACCACTCAAAAACTGGGTTGACATGACAAGTGACACCCCTCACAGCACACAAATATGAAAGCAGATCAGATCAAACCAATGTTAAAACATTACAGAGTGTTTACAGGGTGTAAAAGCGGAAGTGAAAACCAATCAGAGGTCGACTAACCTTCATCAGGCACAACGCCATTTGACACTTCTGGGTAACACACATCTGAGAATTGACATAGGCAATGTGACCGGCCACATCAGAGCAGGCACAATATAACTGTCTTTCATATGAATCATCACAGTGAAGAGTAACAGGAGGAAAAGTTTCGGCTGAGAGACCATCATCCACAAACACCACCAAAAATTACCCCCCTCCTAACAACAGATAACCAGATCAGGCCAGGAATGTTGATAAACTATGTACAGTGCTGGGAAGCGATGCAACAGCAGTATATGTACATGTATCATAGTTTATAGTGTACCTGCACAAGTTGAAAAAAATGGGTATATTCAGTCGATAGTTGTATTTACTACGAGGCATGTTTTTTAAGTATGTACCGTTTTTAAATTTCTCTGTTCCAGCACTGCAATTGGCATTTTTGACAATTGTACTGTGTATGTGCATCTATTGGCAAGCCTGCGCCGGAAATTAGGCAACAATCGGCCGTGTTTACATCCGGGGTTTCGAGCATTCAAAATTGTGCCGCCAATTGAGACTGCCGCCGCCTGTGAAGTGCACGCTGCAGTTCGATCTTTAAATGCTAAAAGGTGTGAAAACCATTGAAATTCATCGACAGATTAGTGAAGTGTATGGCAAGGACTTTGTGAGTGACGGAACGGTACCCAAGTGGGTAACGGCATTTAGACACGGCCGCACCAGCGTTCATGATAAGCAACGCACAATTCATCAGTTATGACAGTAGGCCGGTGGCCGCCCAGTGCGTTGCTCATCATGAACATTGGTGCGGCCGTCTTTAAATACCCTTATACCCACTTGTGTACCATTCCGTCAATCACAATGTTCTCACTAAACTCTTCATTAATCTGTCGATGAATTTAAATGGCTTTCACACCTTTAGCACTTAAAAATCTAACTGCAGCGTGCACTTCACAGTCGGCGGCAGTCTCATTTGGTGACAGCATTTTAAACGGTACTTACTTAAAAAACATTACTCGTATTTTTATTATTATTTATTATTTTCATAGTTGAACAATTGTTGAATAAATAAATATTGATCTGTATACAAATTAAATTAAGTATTCTTCAACTATGCTTAGGATTGGGTACTATTGTAGGTGATATATAATAAGTAACTCTCAAACTGAGGGAATGAAGTGCCATAAATTAAATTTCTATTTAACACGTTCGCTACAGATCGCTACATATATTTGACGCTGCCATCATTACCACGGACGGGGGTATACATTTTAATATTATACATCTAGACCAGGTGTCCCTTGGTTCACAGCACAGCACACGCAGGCCACCGGCCAGTCATGTAGCAAAGTATAAAACAGTTTTGCCAACTATCATATGATGTCACTAATATGATGCACATATGTGACAGACATCCGTAGAATCTGTAGACCACCGCAGGGAATTCAGGGCCTTCAAACAGAGCGATACGAAGATATAAACTTTTTAATAACATTGGACACTAACACAAACATGCGACTTCAGTCCATCTTAATGTGAAAAGCCGTCGCATGGGTAGAAACCGGTCTTCGCATATACTGGTCCATATGAATGAAATTTTGTACTATTGCAGTACCGTAGCGAACATGTTAACAAAAAGTACAGGAACAAATTACATGGCACAAAAACAGTTCAATAAGGTTTAAAAAAGGTGGAATTTATGTATAAAACATAAAACAGCTTAGACAGGTTGAGATGGTTTAAGAATAAAAGGAATTTTACTTAAAATTTTGAAGGAAAAGGTACATAAAGTCAATCTGAGGCAAACTAAAGAAAAGGGCAGGTTATGTCATACCAGGTTGTTTTATCAACCCATTGATATAGAGTAGAAGGTTACCACAGGGTCATACTCAGAATTGATGTGGCCCACGGCGGCTCACGAAAGAGAGGCTTCTCTATGATGATTTAACTGGATAAACATGACCCATTGTTTTCGACTATCAGATCAGGTAATGGATCTAGAAGGCTAGGGCACTAGCTAGTAAATAGTTCAGATTTATTTTTCAATAATAATATTGGGGGTCTGTGGGCCAGACTTCTTTACTTCGGGTGAGGTAAAAAATGTTGAACTTCAGGCCTTGTTCCAAAATCAGGTCAGGTCAAAATCAATTTGCTTTGGAAAGTATTGATTTAAAAAATATTTATTATTGTACTATAATATTGGCTGAAGGCTCCACCCTATATTGTGAAAGATTTGCAAAATCGTGAACAAAAAAAAAGTTTAAAATAACCAAAGTTTTTCTTGGTCACAACAAAATTGTTGCAACAAGATTATGGGGCAACAAGATCGCGGAGCAATCTTGGAAATCTTTTATGTTCATGGCGGATAGTAAACATCAAAGGCTTTTACAGTGACATACTCTGTGTCTTCTGCGATCATAACGAAATTTTGAACAACTTCCACATTACAGAGGCATCATGAATGTCTCTTACGTGTGAGAAAAATAGTGAACATCTTGCGCCATTGCAAAGACATTACCGTCCCTCACGATCATGGAAAAATCTCCATAATCTTTCGCGTTTGCAGGGACATCATCTTCGTCTCCCACGGTCACGGTGAAATCATGAACGTCTCTGAGGTATCGGAGAAATTATGAACATCTTTTGCGGGCCCAGAGACTTGTATACTTCACCCGGGATCGCTGTGAAATCGTGATTTTTGATTAAGCCTTCTTCGCAGACCCTTTTAGCGATCATGAGAATATAAGCTTAGCTTGAAAATTGTACTCCCTAACTCTAACAAATTATTGGAAAAATTCATTTTCCCAAAGAAAAAAAATATTTCATGGTTCCAAGTAAGGGACCTTGAGGCCCTTCCCAGACAGAGGCCCCTAGCAACTTCCATGTCCGCCATTAGGGGCCTGCGACACCGTCTTTTGTGGCAAGGTTCTCCAACTGCTAGCCCACTGGCGCTTAAGTAGTTGGTAATGAATCTAATCTGCAAAGGCTAGTGTCGATGTGTGCTTATAGTTTCACTCTTTCTGTTCGGCCGATGGTGGCATACAAGTCGCTCAGTTGGCTAAGGCCAACGAAAGTAGCATTGAGGTCTTTCTACATTTGGGTTCGAATCCCGTATATGTGTAATCCACTTTAAGGTTACTAAAGTTTGACTTAGCTGATATAAAGGACCCAAAAACTTAAAACTTAAAAACCGACTTTGGTGGATTTTTATGGCATTAGTGAGTTTAATATGGATAGCACAAGACACCTGTGTTGCTTCTTTTTACATTATTGTATATTATTGTTTATTTTTTTATTGAAAATGAACTTTTTGTGGTGAAATATATCTGATAAAAACATAAAAAAAGATAAAAATGAAAAGAGATATTAAAATATTCCTGTGTCAATGGGTTGATGAAGAAAGGCCAAGCAAGAGGCAGATTGACAAGATGATAAACTAATTTTACATAAATAGCATATGTTACAAAAACAAGTTATTCAGTAGCAGGACGATTCAAATAGGAAAAATTATGAACAGTAATGCAATGGGATCAAACGCAAAGATTTGCGATGAAGATGATTTTCATTAATGGATTAAGGTTCTAATCTAAGCCTAATAAATCGGTTTCGATATATTTTGGGGATTTTTAAAATGCTTTAAAAATTAGCAAACACTATGAATTTATTAGTAATTAAGAAAGTATCCAAAAGTCCTTCTTAAATTGTATTTCATATTGATCTTTTAGGTTCTTTATCTGGTTACACACACACCTGCAGCTGCATCAGGACGGACTTGCGTTGGCTCTCATCAACAAGTGAGTCAATTACACTGATGTCATCATCATCTTCATCAGCCGTCAGAGTCCCAGCATCCTGGCCTCTCAGGCAGCGGCGACAGAGGTGTCCTTGCCTGAAATTAACCCATTTTGATGAGATCATAATTTTTTACCATTACAACAATTAATACTCTTGTAAAGACAATTTACATCTTAACTCTGGCTAACTCAGTCTCCAAGCACTATATCTCATGACATGGTGTTGCCAAGTTCAGATAAAGAGAGTTGAAGTACGTAGACATAATTCCACATAAAACCAGCTCAGCACTCTTCTTTACTCTTATGATCATTGATTTTGCAGCCTTGTTTAGCTTTGAGTTAGCCCTTCCACATTAACCTCAAAGCCTTTGCAAGTAGCAAAGTAAGGAGTGAGAATTTTTTCAAAGAGCAAATTGGACTTTTTTTCTTTTTTTGGCGGGACTGGGAGGCAAGCCAGGGACGTATTTAACTATCTGCCGCCTCTAGGCAGAGAAGTTAGCCGCCCCTCCCTCCACCACTCTTTAGCGCGCTCCCCAATTTCGCTAAGATTACCCAACACATGCCCTGTCACCTGAATAATTGCATGCTGCATCAACAAACTAATAACATTTAGAGCCCGTTTTTACAGACTTTTTGTTCCCCTGTTTTTATGCAAACGCAAACGCAATTCTTTTTTTGATAGGTACATGGAATGGAGTGTTGTTGCATTGCTATATCTACATTTGGAAAAACTTAAAAAAGCAAACTGTGCTTACCCTCAAGACGTATTGCAACTATTGTTGTTACGTGACAAATGTTCGCCTTTAAAGACAAACTTAGTCTTAACTTCGTTCCATACTTTTCTGGTGACTGAAGTGTTTTTAAAACCTCTGTGCTGGTCATTCCACAAACTTTCCCTGGGCTGCACCTCACGTATCAACATATATCGCACGTTTGCCGCTCTTCCTCTGTCATTTTACTCTGAACTGAAGCATGACTCACCTGAGCGGCGAGAGGTGTTTTTGCAAAAATCGGTTTTGTCTTGGAACCGTAAGCAGCACTGAGCGGCGTCACTTAGAGCCCCTCGCCGCTCAGACGTATCGTGGCTACCCTCAACAAATTTACACGCAATTAAATGAGACCCGATGCCAGAGCGGCGAAGCTCTTGCCGCTCGCCGCTCTTATCATACCCGCGGCCTCATAATTCTTTTTACTCTAGCCTAGAGGATAACTTTTAGGCACTTTTTTTTATTGATAAAATATAGATATGTTGGGAAAATATACAATGAAAGACACAAAATAAAAAAAATTACCTTTTATGAATTTAAAAAAAAATCTTCATCTCGTAGTAACAGCTCTGTACTCAAAACTCTATTGCCAATGATGCATTTAAATAATGATAGTGGTCAAATTTAAATTAGTTACTGGGACGCAACAGGAGTCTGTTGCTGTTCACATAAAAGGTGTATTCAGTCGTGGCGGTCATAGAATTGCATTAAGAGTGAACCTATGGATTTAATCATAGTTCCAAGTTAGCTCATGTTGCTCACCTGATCTCCTCTAATGTGGAGAGTTCCTCTTGTAAAGATTGCATCTCCTCCTCCTTCTGATGCAGCACTGCCACCCTCTCCTCCAGACAAGCATTCTCCTGTCAACAACCAGGGCACCATTACAGTAACAACAGGCAGTGGCGTAGTAAGGTTGTTTGGCAACCCTTGGCCAGAACTCCACACTAGTGGGTATGGAACACTCCTTTCCCTTTAGTTAGATGAAGTACAGGAGGTCCTACCAAAAAGTAATTTACAAGTCAAAATATTTCATTTCAATGCTAGTTTACCAGTTGCTACAAGAAGTGTGCCTGAGAATGGAACTATCTGATCATCTCCAGAGGTTGCGTTAACATTGTGATAATTTCCTACACTTGCGGAGATATCATCGTCATAGTTTACTGCAACATCAGGAACACTAGTACATTTTTATCAAGCTATCTCAGCAGATGCTTTCTGCAACCACAATGATGTCGTCAGAATAAAAGCTTCGACATTATCAATGATTTTTGATGCTCATCTCAGCTTGAAAATTGAGCTTCTCTGTGTGGGGGCCTCATTAAATTAAGGCCACAGACATAAGTCATCAGGCGATGAATGTCTGCAGTCAATAAGTTTCTTAAGTCATAAAAGATTAGAAAAAAGAGAAAAAAATAATCTTAAGGCAGGAGATTCATTTATTTTACAAATTGTTTAGATACACTGCAAACAAAAAGATTAATTAATTAATTAACTGAAATAGAATGATGAGTCATCTTAGATATCATAACCTTACTTCTATGTGTCATGTAAGTAATGTGTGCTATCTGACATAATGTATTATGAGTAAAATGTGTAATGGAGGGATTGGCCATCTTTTACCACAGCTACCTCTGTAGCACAATAGCACACATTTGTTAACTTTTCAACATTAACAGTTAGTAATAACAATACTAATTTCTTTTCTCACTTGGAGAGATGTACTAACTAATACCCCCACCACATCAAATATGCAAACTAATCACATTTCCTATTGACTAGTTAGATTTTTCACTATAATATTTCCTAGAAATTTTCAGTTCCATTCCCTATTGAATAACAATAAGTTTTCTGAATACTTACGTTTACTGCTACAGGGAAGTGTGTGTTTTAATTGAAATGATATATCATACACAAATGTTATATTATAAAATAGCCTATACATGAATTTGAAAGGATATTAATTTTAGTCTCTGAGGAGATCAAAACGTAAAAGTAAAATAGTCCCGAGTCTCCTTACCGTGCCACCACCTACAGTAACACAACTGCTTATCCCTATAGGGGGAATTTGCTAAAATCCAACAATTTCACGCCTTCAGTAATCATTTATAGTATAATTTAAGGTTGAAAAAGTTCATTAATCAAATAGTTTGATAAACATGATGTATCAATAGACTCCACAATGATGTTTAATCTTATGAAATGTTGATAAATAGTACCAAATGAATATACTCAAAACACTTTTTCAGTAATACGAGCCATCGGTCTTAAAATCAATATTTTGAGGGTAAGAATTTTACTCTAACTAACTCGTACAAAATTGTATAATAATATGAATATCACTCAGAAATGCTAGAATGAACCAAAATGTCAGCTAGACCTAAGCCACAGTCCACAAGGTTTATTGACAGGCATTGGTTTATGGACAGTGAATGTGTTGTCAATAAGTTGTGAATGTGTTGTGTTGACTCACTATATTTTTTTATCCATACACAAACCTTAAAGTTTTATGCTGAAATCTCATCAGCATTTTGATTCGTTCATTAACTAAACAACCAGCAAATGTACCTAGGAAATAAGAAATAATGAATGCTTCAAATACGACTCACCTGCTCAGATATACAACAAGGACTCGTATACTGGTTTTATGCATGGCAACACGCAGCCTGCGCCAGCCACTTGTCTGGCAACTGACCGATTTGGGGACGCTACAGCGACATTTCCCGCTTAAAACTAACGGTGTTGGGGGAATTAAGAGCTCAGAATTTATTGTGGTAATTTATTAATTTAATGTGCAATTTTAATTTAAATATGGCCCTATTGTGATGTATATTGTCTACAATATAATTTGTAAAAAACCGCTAAAAATGTGTTGGTCTGTTCATTCTATCAGTACATTCCGATTCCAAAGAGGAGTGTTTCATATGCTATTTGATGAGTTGAAAGATCATAAAATCCACAATCATTGTGGGACTGGGTTTTGATATTTTGTACAGTACACTGTGTAAGTTGTGGCGAACAACCAATGTGAACTCAGGAAAGCCACAACAACAAACATCGATGAATAGATAGCTGACAATTTCTACTCTCAACCTTTCTCCAATTACTAGAACATGGGTCCCGAGTAGCACTGTATAAACACACTCATTTGATTCAATGAATTTAGATTGAACGAATGACACTTTTTGAAAATGCGTTTGCTAAAACTGTTAACAGTTTTCTAGAGAACACCGTGCCTGTGCGAAGTTTTACTGTCTCTGTGCATAAATGCTCCTTTTTAACTCAGTAGAACTAGGAACTACAAAGCGACTGCTGTGTGTCGCCTTGCATAAAACCGGGCTTCGTGAATAACATACCGTATTTCTAATGTACCTGTATCAGTTGAGTCATCTGATCCTCCAGGTCAGCCACTCTCCGCTGGTCCCGCGCCCGCTGACTGCGTAGCTCCTGTACCTGCTGTAGCAACTGCAGCAGCTCCTCGTCATCAGCGGGGGCGGGGGCGGGTGCGGCGGGGAGTGGCAGTGCGGGGGTGGTGGCGGGGACTGGTGTGTCCGGGGTACAGATAGACCTGCGCTGTCTCCGTCGGGCACTCTCCTGTGCTACTGCCATCTCGTCCACTGACTTCTGTAGATCCTCGCATCTTAGTTCAAGTGATTCTATTTGTGAAGTTAAACTGAAAATAAGGTATAATTTAGAAAATGAATATTCATAATGATAAGATCTTTGTCCCCATAGGTAATATAGCGAGTTGGATAACAGGAAATACGAGGAAGTACCTAAGAGGAAATTGCACCTTTAGTGGGATTAGGTATGACTATAGTAATACCAGAAACAAAAGAACCCTGGGCCGTTTCGAGCCGCGCAGGTTTGAAGGGTAAGCCACACCTACCGGCGCGAACCACGTGATCTTTTCGTTTCTGCGCAGGTTGTTTTGTTCGTGGTATGTCTCTAACACAGAGGTTTGGTTTTAATATAAATATTCTAAGAGCACTTTGGCACTGCACTTTGTATGTTTATTTATAATTAAAACCAATAATGGTGGTTTACTGAAAACACAGAAAGTGTTTGATAACAATCATTATTCAATGTATGTCCCTTCAAAAACAGGAAGATAAGTCAGGGGTCAAGAGGACTGACTCTCCACTTGGCATCACTGAGACTGAGAGACTTTCACTTGTAGAAAATGTCAAGTACTTTGGCACCCTCAGTGGGTAAAGCCACTCTTGGGTTTAGACCAACCTACAATTTGGACTTTTTGAACTTTCTATAGGTAAAATATTACTTATTTTTGTACAGTAGACTCCCTCTTATCTGGACATCGGTTTAACCGCACCACACTCGGCGTAAATGACATCTCTTTCCCTGGACAATTTTTATCAGCACATCGGTTTAACCGGACTAGATCAGCAGGAAGTGGGTGGTAATGAAACGACTGTTCTCGTGGGAAAGATTTTAGACCAGTGATCATATGTGTATAAATAGAATGCTCTCCTGAATTTAAGTCAAATACTGTATACGGTATGCATTTACATGGTCCGTTTCATTTTAACAAGTTTTTGGGGACGTCAGTTCAACCGAAAAAACCGTGATCCAGATTGGCCTCGGTCCCGAGGAGTCCGGATAGGAGGGAGTCTACTGTATATGAATGTTCCATTACGAGGGCTGTCAGGAAGTAGGGAACGTTTTGGAATAAAATAAAAAGTGTGTACATAAAAATGTTTTTGATCACTCCTTACCAAAAGTAACTATTTTTTTATAACGGCTGATATCAAAGAAAGTAATCGTTTCCCAAGCTCTAATTTGGAGCGAGGGAAAAACTATCAGCTGATTTTCCCTCGCTCTAAATTTACTTTTCCTTGCTCACGATTAGTTCTCCATTTATCCACTACGTGTGCTATTGTTTTGATAGGTTTTTTTATGATTTAAATCAGCTGTTTTCATCGTTGCACAATCTAAATGTATACAGAAACATGCATTACTTAGTTTTTTTGCACAACTGACAACCTCTTAGGAGAGACAAACTCACTTAAGGGTTTACAATACGGCTTTACAATACTTCAAATATGGCAAAATCTATGAGCATTGTATTTAATTTCTTGTATAGAATACTCATTAAAGTTGTTAATGGTTTTTAAACATCCAGTATACCATTCTATTATGAATCAAGCCCTAGGTTACCATTACCTTCTTAAATTGTTTAATATTTTCTATTGAGTAAAAAAAGGCTGATAAATTGTTAAACATGTCAACTTGGAATTTGTTAAAGAACATCCACACTCACGTCTTAATGAGTTTCTTGTCTGATATGTTGTCAACAGAGAGTTTCTGATTGGTGTGCTCCAGCTCCTGGATGCTGACTTCGAGCTGCTCGTAAATCCTGAGTCTAGAGTCGTTAACCTCCCTCAGCGCTGCCGTCTGCTTGGTCAGGTACTGCCAACATTACAACACAAGAGTTACAGCAAGTCAAGTTGAGTAATTCACTTGAAAAATTTGTGACAGTGTAGGTAGTGCATGAAGGTAGAATAGGAAAGGCTGCATGCTGCAAGTGGTTTCGTCACATATCAAATACCAATCATTACAATAACCACCATAATGTTTACTGTTTAATGTTACTTTTTAATTACATAATGTGCACTTTTATACTGGTTTGCTTTTTATATGTTTAAACTATTACCTTTTCATGTCTGTGATATTAGGCCTAGCTCATTAATCTAATCTTAATTGGGTTACTGTGTAACCCTGTTACCAAATATTTTGTATGTCTATTGCATGTTTGTTATGCCAAATGAAATAAAGGATTTGCTTGATTTGATTTGATTTGAATGAATCGCTGTTAATATAGAAATTTTAATACTCTTATGACTGGCGGATGACAGAAGAACTTCCATTTTGAAGTTGCAGAGTTATATTAATTTCCTTACCCAAAATACAAACCTACCACAAGATATACATTCTGTTGATCAATTTTATTAGAAGCATTTGGATTTAATTAAAAATGGCACACTCTGGGTTGTTTTAGCAAGGAAATGGTTTAATAGCCATTTTAATTCCAGAAATATCCTCCAGATCCAAAAATGCAACATTTTTTATGTAACGCCATTTTTTATGTTAAGTAAAATGACCAAGGGAGAATAAAGTGTTTTACTTATTATAAATCTAGTAAGAGTGATTTGGGGGGAGTGATCTGGTATAGTGGTTAGAGCGCGGGACTTCGGTCCAAGAGGTCCCGGGTTCAAATCCCGCCAAATCACCAATGGTTTTTATCTATGTGATAATGCCGCAACTCCTAGGTCTAGCCTGAAGTAATGTGAAAAACAATCCCAGGCTCATGCCTAGCATCCTAGGACAAAAAAGAAAAGTACGTGTGATAAAATGTATAAGCTTCTTTAACACAGCTGAAGGTTACCTCAATTTCCTGGGTTTGCTCCTCAATGACATTCTGATGCTGTTTCAGAGCAGTCTCAAGTTCCTTGTTTCTTTCAAGAAGAGTTTTCCCCAACTCTGCTGCTAGTTGTAAATCTGAAACATTACAATAATCATGAATAAAATGTAAACAAGTTTAATGAACACCATGTTCTGTGTTAGAGTTAAACTTCATAACATGGGATATTGTACCTTGTCATTAAATTTTCTATTTGATTTATCATAATCAATCAAAATGTAGGCAAAACCTATATCAGAATACTTGGCTCAACGGATGATATATCAAAGTCACATGCACACATAGAATATCAGTGTTTTTTTAGGAAAGGTAATCCAAACACTCTATGAGGGAGGTATTGAGGTTAAAGTGTTGTACCATGAGTTTGTTTTACTGAAGGAATCGCTTGAGTATTCTAGTATTAAACCTCACCCAGATAAAAACAATTTTGTAGAAATTATTTATTTAACTCAACTCAATCTGTTATTTTCCTCTCACGAAAACACAGTTTGACTGTAAAGTGTGTTAGTTATTACAAATCTGTTGATTTTAAAAGGAGACAATACAAACTATCACTGCACCTGTTCCTTGCCTCAACAGCCAATAAGCAGAATCAATTAATAGCAATTCTTAACATATAAATTTTACATTTTATTTATGTATTTTTTAAAATAAGTCTTGTTATACAATATACTCCATTACAACATAGGTATGTTCCTATAAAATTTAAACCCAGTACTTTTAACATCATCAGTAATTATAAAACTTATTTTCTAAGACTTCTCAGTCTTAGGCTAAATCTATTCAAATATTTTTTAGAGTTGGTCAGACTGCTAGTATTAAGCCTAGCACTGAGGCCTACTTCCATCCATTGATTGTAGAAGCCCCAATACTCATCATTACGCAACACCATCCAGATAAAATGACAGGGGGGACTCAATGCTAGAGACAGCAGCTGGCAGTACAGTCTATTAGATGGTATTAATCTATGCATGAAATTTCAAGATACTACAAACGCCGTCTAAAAAAAATTTGAAAACAAAATGGTGGCTGATCAGCATAGGCCCTACCTAATTTTGAGTTGATATATTTTTTTTATATAGTTTAATATATTTTTAACTTGATATTTAGTTTGCTTTAGTCCAGAAATCTTCACTTTAAAAGGTCGGTAGAGGGTTCGGGGACACGCTGTATATAGATGACACATGGAGGAGTAAACTCTACAAGTTGTTGATTACACAGACAAAGCATTTAGTTTTCACGTGAACAATTTCGAGAGAATGAAATTCTATGTTTACTGAAGTTTAAATACTCAGAGTGTATGTTAATGTATGAAGGCGCGCAGAGGTGTTAAGTATGCCAAGGCTGAGATTGACAAACAATGCTCTAGTTGACAGTAGACTAGGCTACTACTGGTGACTGTGGTAGTCAACTGATTGGGGCTTGTAAGAGATACTAGACAAAATTATATAAAAATTTAACATTTCAACAAAAAGTCACATTAGAATATTTTTGAGAGAATACTCTTAAGATGTTTACAAATGAAACAGGTAAGAATGCTTTTAACCTCTTTCAGGGATGAAATAACGGCAAGAAACTCGTCGTCCCACGCAAAGTGATGCCGTTATATTTGAGTAGATTCACACCATAGTAACTACGCTAACGGTCAACGCAACATTACCGTGCTCGCAACACCGATACAACCCACCAGCACAGCCATGAGGCACTGGACTGGGGTAAAACCATTTGCAAACTTTCAGAAAACAAGTTCAACTTTACTGTTTGCATGTCAACGCTAAATATAAATGCAACCTGCAACAGAGGATGCCAACATGTTTGTTTCCATATTACATGATACTCGAGACCCCTTATCAATATTGTGACCCATACTGAATTCGTATTTTAACACCTATAAAAGTCCTGCAAATAAACATATGTCCGTGTGATTTCTTCAACCTTAACAAGGCCCTCTGTACATTCAACAACCTCATCACAGTTTTGTGTGTAGTCCTCGAGTCACATTTACGTAAACAACAGCCGAAATATCTGAGGATTTAACTTCCATTCAAACCAGCCAAATCCTTCAAAACATAGGTTTCCTACTAGAAGAAAGCGGGCATGTCCCAAATCTCTTGTATCCCTCACTACCATTAGTGCAACTCAACAAAAAGAAGCAATAATAATGAAGATAAATAAGGCATATGAGTTTAATTATGCACCTAAGAAAGAAAAGGGAGGAATGTGTTAAATAAACAACAAGACACAATAAATTACAGTGTGAAATTACCGACTACTACAAAGCAATCGGAGGCATCGCCGAGGGCAGTGCGCTCCCTCGTGATCCAACCGGTCGGCGCGGCGCGGCGTTACATTATATTACATTAACATTAACGGCAGCAGCACGAGCACCAAAGGTCACGACTGTAGCGCGAAGGTTATCACAGGCACAGGCGCCGCACCGGTCACTGATACCCCAGGTAACCGTTCCGCGCATGTACCTGTTACTTTCACTATTGAATGAATTACGTTCCCGCGGTCCCCTCTTCTCGGATTGGAACGTGACTGATTGGAACTGGATGAGGCTAGAGACGAGTGATTGGGGAAAGGGAAGGAAGTGCAATGGCAATGCGACTGCGGACTGCAATGAGGAGAATGACTTCCCTCCCCGCAGCACGTTGCACGATGCATTGGGACAGATCAACGAGCTGGAGCTACGTGCTGGTAATTGGTAATTGAGGCAGAGTTTCCTTATTGAGAGGTAACCGTAGCATGGTTGCACGCGGTCCAAAGTCTGTTGAAGTTAAACCATAGGCGCGGCTTATGCCTACTACTACTCCTGCACCAACAATCCAACCAATTAACATTACAAACGCTTGTTAACACCACGTTCACATTTCGTTCCACCGCACTCCACAGTCCTCTAGGAACAAATTTACTGAAGTGATTATCAACATACGTGCTGTATACAGACAATACCTACTTCTTCTCGCAGTCGCAATCAAGTCATTGTTTACATGTGCTACGATCCCCAGTGACCTAAGAGGGAATGTAACACATCAAAACACCAGGCCAGGCCCGTGCACGTGTCTGCCGTCTGCCGTGTTGCTGGTTTATTTACGAGAAGTACTTGGAGAGACGACGCCAAACAATCGCTATTTAAAACCTAAATGGCCGTTTTCCATCAGGAAGCCTACGTTCTAAATTTATAATTAACTGGACTTGGGACGATACTTAGGTTATCCTCCATGAATAAAACAACTATTATTTATAATGCTTTTCAGCTTACAATTTATTCTCGAGTAGATTAGCAATTGTTGTTTCAAAGTGTCTTTCTTGTGGGATGTGAGAGATGAATGGATGTCATATGAATAGGCCATCCTTGGGACAAGCCGTAGTCTTAGATTATTTATAAATAACAATAGCAATTATAAAAGCGTTTAGTAATAATTTGGCTTTCCAATAATGGAAAGCGCATTAGTCATCTTGTTTGTCTCGCCAAACAAATTCTGTCACAACGTCTCTTTGAGAAAACGGCATAGTCTTTTCTTCGTAGAGTTGCACAACACGTAATTAATAAATTGGTGGAATTAAACGTATCCTTTAACGGTTTTGAATTTAATCAGAACAATTCAAGTGATAAACAGTGCGGGCCGGAATTTTACACCCGGACTTTTCCCCCCTAATGAGTTTAGCTCAAAATGTACGGCCCGGATTTTTACCACCCGGATTTTTAGCCCCGGAATTTTGCTTCCTGGCCAGATATAGAATTTGGTGATAATAATTAACATTGTTTTTTAGAGAAGGGCGTTTAAACAGACAACTATTCTTTACCGCTGTTTAAATGCAAATTTGTGGGAAAATTCAGTTTTCAGAGTGTTAAGGATATGACAATAGTTTCACTGACATTTTTCACGAAAACTGTAGGAATACAACAATGTGTACATGTATTGAATGGTTTTGAAATTTTTTTACACGTTTATTTTGCCTACAGCCTACAACCTACAACATTTCACATAAACAGTGATAAATAATATTTACTGTATAAACGCCTTTCTCTAAAAACGCCCATTATGTACAGAATTAATTATTCTCACCAATCTCTATACCTGGCCAGGGGGTAGATTTCCGGCGGTAAAATTCCGAGGGTATATTTCCATTTACATCTACAATTGTCTAAAATTAAAGATTATAAGGGCAGAGGGTAAAATTCCGGGTAAAATGTCTGTTTTCATTAGACTCCCAAATCAACGGGGATAAAATTCGGCCGCGAACAAAATTGAGAGCGCTCAGGTTACTACGTCATAGTGACGTCCGCTCTGCTCTGGGGGATAATTCCAGGGGGATGAAATTCCAGCGGCTCTATTATTTTAATCATGAAATTTTCCTGAACCTGTAAATAATATTAATTGATGGGTTTGTGCGTGAAACAGGACGCACATTGAAGCTTACCAATAACAAGGGGGGCGACCACCGTCTATGGCTTCATTGCCATCCGACTCTTCGCAGATATGCTGATGTGCTTGATCAATTGCAGCAATGGGACATTATATGAGTAGATTGACGAGTGCAGATAGTTTTAATGGAAAGGAGGCACACTGAAGACAACAATTTTCAATACAAATAAACACTATTAAAAAACTAAAAGAAATGTCCATGTGTATCCTATGGCTGTAAACCTTTAGTAAGCACCCGCTATATCACCCCGTCGTCACGTCACACTGCTCACTCACTGTGCGTCCGACTGACTCCCTTTTATCGTTCACCTAGATATTTTGCTTGGCCATTCACAACAGGTGTTATAATTACAAACATTTTCCTTGTCTGGGAAGACTTGCCTAACCACAATCGTATACAATGAGTGTTGTCCTTCGAGGTAATTTAAAACGGGAAACTGGGCTGGTATCTTGTAACACAACAACTTAGAGGCAAACCGATGGTTTACAATAGTAATTCAACTGTAATTTTATTCCAACTAGAATTATTATTAAGCCTCTTAAAATTTATTACAATGGTACTCTCAATTTGCGTAAAAAATAAAAGTTAGTTTATTTTATCACAACACATGTAGTTACACTATGCCACTAGTAAAGCTACTCTT